CGTGGATGGACATCAGGCTGATCATTAGAGCTGACACAGGGTTGCTTTTCCTCCTCCAGGACTCGACCAGCCCTCTGCCCACGTTTGTCTGCAGAGGAAAAGCGATGCTGCTCCCAGACACTCCCTCCCTTCACAGGGCTTTTGTTTGACTCCCTGCTTTCCCTGGATAAAGCACTTGGCACTTGTTTCCTTTGCTTTCTGCCTGGGCTCTTAGCAAAGTGTAACTTTTTTTTTCTCTGCCCTTCCTTTCTGCCCCAGCACACGACACTGGTAACCTCCTGTTTGCCCTGGAGGACCAGTATTTCCTCCAGCCTGTATTTTGGGATCAGCACTGGGTTTTGGTAGCTATGGAAACACAAAAAAAAGCCTTAGCAACTGATGGTGGCCAGCAAGGAAAGCAACTGGTGCTGCCATGGAAACTTGTGGCCTTCAAACAGTTTCTTGAAGGCACTTGCTCCTTCCTTGTTTTTGGGCATCGCTCCCAGGCAAATGTCCAGGGGCTGCAGGAGAAGCCCCAGTGGAGGGGATGTGATGGGAAAGGCTCAGCCCTGGGTGGGGATCTCACCTGGGGAGTGCTGGAGAAGCCTTCCAGCACCACGTCCTTCGTCTGGCCCGGCCCCAGCTCCATCTGCGGCGGCTGCAGCTTAAACACGGGGCTGGCAGGTCTGGGGGGCTGGGAAGGGTCTTTGCCCTTGGTGGTGCCCAGGGCACGACGCTGCTGGGAGATGCTGAAACCTTCTGTGCTCCAGAACAGCTGGTGGGTGTGGCGCCCTTTGTTTGTCATTTTGAAGCGGTAACAGCAGGGACTGAGGCTGCAGGAGAAGCAGAGGTGGCATCAGCAGCACCCCGATGGTGTTCCCTGACTGCACACCCAGCACTAAAACCACCACCAGAAAGGCCACCTGAGCTCAAAGCTTCAGCCACAGCCAGGCCTTGGCTGCCCTTAAATTCATCACCACCCAGCAGCTGCTTTCCATATGGGTGGCTTTTGAGTGTCTCTAATGACTCCCCAAATAGCCATCACATGTTTCTACAGGAACCCCTGTGGCTTCAGGGCATCAGAGCTGGGACCTACTGAAGAAGACCTAGCCTGAAGGACTAGGGCAAAACTGCTCCTTGCTGAGCCCAGGGGAGAAGCGGGAGCTGAGAGAGATCCTACCTGAAGTGGGGCTTAAAGTTGAGCTCCGGACAGAACGGTCTGTCGGTGACAATTGTGGTGCCAGTGCCCACAGCCTGCACGGGGATGATGTTCACGTCGCTGTTCTCGATGAACAGCTTCACCTTGTCCTCAAATCTCCCCGTGTCGTCGAGGTTTGCTGTGACAATCACAGACACCTCGGCCTCGGGGGGGATCACTCCCTTACTGGGTTCAGTCCTCCAGCGTGAGCACGTGCCAGCCTGAAGAGGCAAACCCAGCATGAGCTTAGGATGGAAACCATGGCCCCTGCTCTGCTGTGGGGTGCAGGAAATGGAAGGACTAAAAGGATCAGGGCAAAAATCATAAAGGTTTAATTTCCCTAAATTTGAGCTGCAGCGTCTGGCAACAGCAACTCTAACCATTACCAGCAGTTTGGCACAAAGAAAGTGCAGATGGAACGGGGAAACCGCAGGGAAATCCGTGCCCTCTCAGGAACAAAGGGCCACAGGCTTCCCTTGAGCTCAAAAACATGACCTGCACAGCTAAATACCTTCCACAAAATAAAGAGAGAACTTGCAGACATGATCCAGACTCATTTCTGCACACTCTTTCACTGAGGGTTGTCCCAGCTAAAACCACCCCCAGAGCCAGGCTCCTCTTGCCACACTCAGATTGAATATCTTGCACAGAAAGGCATGGGAACATTGAATATAAAAAGCAAATCACAGGCTGCTACTGAGCAGTCATTTTCACTGGACAACGGCCCCACAGATACTTACCATCTCCACCCAGAAGACTGCAGGGATGACACTCTGATTGGACAGGTGGAGAGTCTGGGAAATATCTTTCACGACCGGGATAGTGCCGAAGTTTATCTCGGTTGGATACACAAAGACAACCGGTCCCTGTCCGGTGCTCTCTAAATGGATTTGCTGTTCCAAGGAGAAAGTAGGAAAGATCAAAAAAAATAGAAAAGGGAAAGTTTGTAAAGCCTAGCTCTAAGGGCAGTCCTAGACTGGGGATAATTCTGGCTCTTTGAAGTTTTCGGTGCTGTAGACTAAACCAGAAGGCCTGGAGCAAGCGTGGGGTCTGCAGTGCTCCCATCTGACAGCCACAGGCTCCCATTATCAGCAGACAGAGAAATGCTGTTTCCCATTCTTGCTTCTTCACACCTCCTCCACATTGTCTACCTCCACACTTCCTCTGCTTCCACTCCTTTCACTGCTCTGTCTTGCCCAAACCACCCTCCCAGCAGAGACCCACAGATTGGTCCGGGGTTCAGATTGGGCTTGTTATCCTGATTGCCACTATATGTTGGGTCAGGCACTGAGATTACCACCTATGAGGATTCCATACTTCCTCTTTTCTAGGCATAAGATGCTGCTTATGCCACCAATCCTTTCCTTACTTGTCCACAGCAGCCATATATCACAAGCTCCTGTTTTCCCTGGAAGAATCCCAGTACATTTAACACTCCACCAGGATGAGTCACACAAAGGCTCACATCTCACACATCTCACACTCACCAGGGGGGGTTCTTCACTCCCAAACACGGCGACATCAGCAGTGATGTTGTGATCTCCCAGCGATTTGGTTTCAAGTATAAATGGGATCTCCACTGAGCTGTGAGCCTTGATAATCCCACGCGGCTGAGGGGTGAAGTACCACACAGCAGCATCCTCCCTGCGTTCCTAGGAGGGACAGAACCAAACACAGCTTCAGAGGGACGAAACTTTAAACATCTACCACAGTGGCAACTCTCATACACTTTTAAAAATCCCCCGGGAGAAAGCAGAAAGGCACGAAACAAAATGAAGGACTTGCAAGGGCTTAGCATCCTCAGGGGGTTCCAAAGCTGCTGCATCCACAGACACCCACTCCTGTGCTGGCAGCCCCCTTGCAGCAGCTTTTCACAACCCTCTAAACTCTCCAAGGAGTAGAATATGAACTGTTTCCCTAAGAGGTTAAACTGCTTCCTAAAGTTTGAATTTGGGTAGGCTCCTGTTCTCAACAAACCTTTAGGTTTGGATAGAAACCAGCAAGGTCTTATGCAAACCCCTCTTTCCCCCTAATAAACAACTGGATAACATCTGAGAAGAGGAGGAGGAGGAAGAGGATGTGATGCCAAACCTGAGGAAGAATCCTGTAGCAGCCAGGAAAGTCGCTGTCATTCACGAGCTTCAGCATCTTCTGGTAAGGGACCTTCAGGTAGC